TTTTCTTCCTCCACATCTCTACCATACTTATTTTGTTTTTAATTTTGGTATTATAAAACAAATTTTAGGTATACCCCAAATCCAGGTAAATGAATTAGTTAATACTGACAAATGGCATTCATTTGAAAAGTTTTTAAAAAGGTAATAGTGTTGTTATTCACTTCTACTCACGTTCTTGTTACATAAATATTTACAACATAAAGACAATGCTAGATAAAATTAAGCTTTCCAGAGTCTATAGTAGCTTCACAATTTTAGGTTTTAAAACAAAGCTAACAAAGACCAAGCAGTGTGCTTAGTAACTACTTAATTGATACCTAAACTACAAAACAGTGGTGCTGAAATCAGTTGGGAGGCAATTATCTGCTACAATGAAAGCAAATAAATGGTGAAGGGAAAAGAGGATTGTTTAAAAAAAATTCAAACACACAACTACTTTTCTGTAAAATGTGTAATTTATGAGTTTAAGAGAATATTTGATCATATCAACTGTTTTCTTAAATTTCTTTCCCACAGTTCAGTTCCCCTGACAGAAGAATTCAACTAATGATGGCATATAATTTTACCATTGAGTCTGTAATACAAGTTGACATGTTTTCCTTTATACTACTGAGATTGACTTTCTTTATATTTGGAGAAACAAAAGTAAAATTAGTGCCTGTTATAATATGAATCACTACATCACAGACTCAGGAATGACACAGAGGAAAGCAAGTCCCTGAAGCCAGTACTGAAAACTATAAAAGTTACATGATTAACCCATCCACTGAAAAAGTCTATTTCCTTGGCCAGTTTGGGGAAGTTCTCCTTCATTATTTTTTCAAATAAGTTTTCAATTTCTTGTTCCTCCTCTTCTCCTTCTGGCACCCCTATGTTGGAACATTTAAAGTTGTCCTGGAGGTACCTAAGCCTCTCCTCATTTTTCTGAATTCTTGTTTCTTCATTCTGTTCTGGTTGAGTGTTCCTTCCTTTTGCTCCAAACCATTGAGTCCCAGTTTCTTTCCCATCACTGTTGGTTCCCTGTACATCTTCCTTTAATTCACTTAGTGTAGCCTTCACTTTTTCCTCTATTTTGCCACCATACTCAACCAATTCTGTGATCTTCCTGATTACCAGTGCACTGTATTGATAGGCTGGCTATCTCTTCAGAGCTTAGTTGTATTTTTTCTGGAGCTTTGATTTGTTCTATCATTTGGGCCATGGTTTTTTTTTTTTTTTTTGTCTTGTCTTGGCGCACCTGTTACATAGCAAGGTGCAGAGGCTTAGGTGTTTACCAGGTGCAGGGCAACCCACATCACTGTGTCGTGGCACTCTACATGGGGGAGGGGCCCAAGAGGTATCAGTCCCATTTGCTCTGCTCTCTGACAGTTTTCAGTCACTTCCCCCACTACCCAAAAGCACATTGGGCCCTTCTGGTGCTGATTCCCAGGTGGGTGGGCTTGCGTATGTTCTAGGACCCAGTGGGTCTCTCCAGTGAACTCTCCTGTGTGGCTGAGAGTTTCTCCTGCTGCTGCTTAACCCCGACAGGTGTTTTCAGTCAGAGGTTTTGAGGCTTTATTTCCCTGAGCTGGAACCCTGGATTGCTCCATCTCTCTTGTTCCCTAGTTGTTCCTTCCAGTTTATTGCAAAGGTGGGACTGCCCAGCCTGCCAGCAACTGCCTTGCTCACCTTGGTCCTCAAGCTGCTGCTTGGCCGTGAGTCCTCTCCACCAGGCTGCCTGTCTCTGTCCCTGCTACCGGTCTTTAACTCCTTGGTTGTCGGACTTCCATACAGTTCAATTTTCTGTCTGTTCTGGTTGTTTCTTATTTTTTAATGTGTTGCTGTCCTTCTTTTGGTTGTGCATGGAGGCACAGTGTGTCTATTTACGCCTCCATTTTGGCCAGAAGTCAGTTTCTTGAATTTCTTTAAGCTCATAATTTCTTAACCCTCCTAAAATTTTAAATCAAACAAGAAACTAAAAAGATTCAAAACAGAAACCCCTTAAGATTAAAATCTATATAATCGAGTAATACATCAATATAATGAAAGATATGAATAACCAATAATGGAAACATCTAGCTTTATCCTATAGGTTAATACTCTCCCCTACCAAAACTTTTCCAAAGCTCCAACTAAGTAGCTAAATTGGCTAATTTGAACTTCATTTTCTTCCTCTATCCAATTCTCTCCAATTGAAATATCCATAACATGTGCCATCGTACAAATACAGAAAATGTAACCCCCAAAATTTGTTGTGAGAATTAAATGAATTGAAATTCAGTTAAGTACTTAGCACAGTGTATGGCACATCGCAAACACTCATAAATGGTGGTAGTATTATAATTACCTGTTAACATTTATTACATAGTATTTTTTCACAATAACTTCTTAACCTATACAAAATTCTTAATAGTTTACAAAACTCACAATGATTTTCAATATTCCTGAAGTCTGTAACACGAGTAAAAACACCGAAAAAACAATAGTGGTTCATTTAACCAACTAATATCTTATCATTGTCAAAGAAAATAAAGGATGTTTTTAGAGCAATTGTGTTTACCTTGCTTAAATCCAGCTAAAAAAATTATGTTACATATCACAAACACTCCTATAATCCCTTATTTCAACTAAACTTTTTTGAAATCACTGATAATTTTAACCTGTTTTACCTGAATTTGCTATTTTCAACGTATGCTTAATTAACTCCTTTCAACTTTCAGGAGTGTACTATTAATATACCTAGCAATATATTCCACTATTCTGGAATTTAACTTTTTCACCCTATCTATATCTATGATTCAATATAAAAGGCTTTTCTAGTCAATAAACAATTCCTAGAATTCCCTAAATTCTTAGAATTCAAAAATAAGACAAAAAATCTTTGTAATAGAAATAAACAGAATGCACATTAAATGGATAAGATTCATCTTCCACAAAATAACCCTAAAAGATAATTAGTAAGATACTTGATGCTTCCCTGACCAGTGTGGTTCAGTTGGTTGAACACTGTCCATAAAGCAGAAAGGTCCTTAGTTCAATTAGGATCATAGCACATACCTAGTTGGGGGCTTTAATCAGTGTTTCTCTCAGATGTTTCTCTCCCTTTCTCCCTCCCTTTCCCATCTCTAAAAATAAATAAATAAAGTCTTTAAAAAAAGAGAGAGATATGTCATGCTGTTAAGACCTTATTTCCTAAATATCCACCATGGAGACTAATGCATTTTCCAAGTCTTCATCCAGGAAATTAAATGTAACAGATAGACTGCAATCTATAACACAGTGATCTATCTACAAGGATCTGCTAAAGCACTCAAATGAAGATTTATCTAGCTTTGTTCTAAGGAAAAGGACATGATAACTGGTTCATTTAAGTATCCAAGCCCCTGGAGAAGGATTCTCTATAGGGATAAGGGGTCATTCTTAAACTTGTACTATAACTTTGATGATGATTACCATTTAAGCCTTTCTAAGTTCCTTTTCTTTGATTCCATGATTACAACAAAACCTCTACTTACTAGTCCCAAGCTCTCAGATACAGGAAAGAGTGCACTGGATTTTCAACGGGAAAATTCTAATCACTGGAAAGGGTAACCTATTCCAACATAAAGCAGCATTCTAATGTGTACATTCTAATATGTAAATCATTCTCTTATTTAGATTAGTTTGAATTTGGTTCCTGAAATCTAAGAATAATTGAGTAAAAGTATACATTGGAAATATGAAAAACAGACATTCCTTCTCATTGACAACTGCCCCAAGCATCTCTTGGTTTTCTTTCCCTGCCCTTACCTTCTTCCTACCAAAGAGAGAGAGAGAGAGAGAGAGAGAGAGAGAGAGAGTTTTTTCTCTGATCTACTGAAATATGGCTAAACCAAATTTAGGTAGATTCATTTAACCACCAAAATGCATAATTTTAAAGGAAACGTAGAACTTAAAACCAAAACAAGGTTGCATGGTTTACACAAGCTTTATTTACACTTACTGTAGTCCCAAAAGAAAAAAAAAGAAACGTATGCTATTCAACTTGTGCTTTAAGAAAACATCCAGAAATTATTCTTAAATTATTCAGCAACATTATTTATAAAGTGGTTTGTCACATGTGACTCAAGTGTATCTAAGAGATATCCCAAGAACAGGGTAGGAACACTTGCATTTTAAGTGTATAAACTGGAGACTTCAAATGAAAATCCAGACTTTTCTCACTGGGTGATTCAAAAGTAATTGTGCTATCACTTCAAAGACAAAAAAATTCTCTTCCACACTTCAGAGAAGTCAGCCTTACAACAGACACCCCATCTCTTCAAATGTGACTGCTTAAGTTCCATTTACAAGGAGAAAATGCTCGTCAAATACACACTTTATGTACAAATAAAGAAATGTCTAGTATCAGCCTTAAAATCTACAGAGCAGAAGTCTCTTAGGACCGTAATGTCAAGAACTTCTACCCCAAATGAAATTTTCTTTGCAATCTCCGTTTCCAGGAGACTGAAAGGCTGCAAAGACGCAGGAAGATGCTGCAGAGAGGCTGGGGTGACAGAGGGAGTGGGAGGAGTGAGTCCCACAGAAGAACTGTATTAGAAGACTTTGAGAAAATATAAGGGAGAGATAGTTTCGCTTTGGGAGGGGAAAAAGACATATCCAAGATTATGTTTCCAAAAAGAACCTAAAGTGATGGTGGTAAGGAAAACTGACATAAAACCTTGAACCCCTCGCCGCTGGGCTTGAGCAAAGTAGGGAAAGAGTAAGGGCCCAAAAGACCAGGATTTGAAAAAAGTACGTAATGTACTTTTTGGCCTTCATACGCAACTTTGGCCCAGTAAGTGGACAACAGGGGGAAGGGACGGCACTACCTCAGAGCTGTACATTGCAACTCGTTTATAACGCTAAACTACTCCTGTACAAGATGTCTCCTCTCTCCCGGCTTGCTCCCGTTTATTTCTTTACCTCTCTCCAGCATCAGCAGCACTTCGGCAAAACTCTGCTAATGCCTACGCTGCAGGTGGACAGCAAAAGGAAAATACCTGAGTCCCAGGAATTGTGCCCGCAACGACAGGAGGAGCCGTGGACAACTGGAACCCGAGCTGGATCCTCGCTTGCCTCCAGTCAAACCTCAATTCTCACGGGTGGGGCAGGGAACTTCCGCCCTGAACGAGAAAACCGTCACTTCCGCTTAATGCCTCCTGCCCCGCCCCCTCCCATATTCACACCCTCTTCGCTTTCTCGGTTCTAGATACGTTCCTTAAGCCTGCTACCTTCGCAACATTTTCACGTCTTTTTCCAAGAGACACCGACTTAGTTTTAACACCTGGTGTGAACTACATGACCCAGCAGTCACCGCGGCAGGCTGACTTCCGGGTCAAGAGGTCGGCGCTGGATACATCACCATGGAAGCGATCGGTTTGGTCACGTGGCGCCCCTGGTTACGCCTGGTGGTAGCCAGGGGGTCGGGGGCTTAGGCGGGGGCCATTTTGCCTAAGGCTTCCGGAGTTGGGGGTGGTCGGGGACCTGGCTGAAGTTGCTGTTTCTCCTCCTTTGCAGCTTGGGACTTGGAGAGGAACAAGAAGGTTGGACTCCATCAAGCGCTTCGGAGACGATGGTTCTCTCTAGCCTCCGCCTCCTAAGGACCCTCCATGGCGGCTGCGCCCTCCGCGCTGCTCCTGCTGCATCCTCTTCCACCCCAGTGTTCCTATCACCCCCAGAGCCGCAGTCTTCCTTCCGCTCCAGAGACTGATGTAAGTCGAGGTGGGGGTACAATGAGAGACGGGAAAAATTACTGCTGCCCCGGAGCTTCTGGAGACCACGGTTCCTGTCCCCCTACACCTTCGCCTCTGGCCTCGACCCTCTTGATGCCCGCAGAGGCCATCTCAAGTAGTTGGAATGGGTCTGGTGGTAGTTTGTCAGGGGGAGATGAAGAGGAATGTCGGCTCCTTCAACTATTCCGGACCGCGCCGGATCCTTCTGAGGCCTTCCAGGCTTTGCAGGCTGTTTTGCCTCGGCGGGGCGGTCGACTTGGCTTCCCCAGACGGAAGGAAGCGTTGTATCGAGCCCTGGGTCGAGTGCTTGTAGAAGGGGATAATGATGAGAAACGACTCTGCTTGCAACTCCTTTCGGATGTTCTTCGGGGTCAGGGGGAGGCAGGCCAGCTGGAAGAGGCCTTTAGCTTAGCACTTCTGCCTCAGTTGGTTGTCTCTTTGCGGGAAGAGAATCCAGCCCTGCGGAAAGATGCGTTGCAGATCCTACACATATGTCTGAAACGTAGTGCTGGACAGGTGCTGAGAACACTTATACAGCAAGGATTGGAAAGTACTGATGCCCGGCTTAGAGCTTCCACAGCGCTCCTGTTCCCTATCTTGCTTACCACTGAGGATTTGTTGCTCGGCCTAGATCTTACCGAGGTGATAATATCCTTGGCCCGAAAGCTTGGCGATCAGGAGATAGAAGAAGAATCTGAGACAGCTTTCTGTGCCCTTCAACAAATTGGGGAGCGACTTGGCCAAGAGAAGTTTCAGTCCTATATCTCTCGCTTGCCGTCCGCCCTGAGGAGACACTACAATCGCCGCCTGGAGTCCCAGTTTGGCAGTCAGGTTCCTTATTATTTGGAACTTGAAGCCTGTGGATTTCCTGAAGATCCCCTTCCCTGTGCAGTGACCACATCCAACAGCAATTTTAAATTTGGGATTATTCCTCAGGAGCTTCATTCAAGATTGTTAGATCAGGAAGATTATAAGAACCGGACTCAGGCCGTTGAAGATTTAAAACAGGTGATGGGACAATTTAACGTTAGTTCTACCCCACATTCTAGCCTTGTCAGTTTTATTAGCTTGCTCTATAATTTGTTAGACGATTCTAACTTCAGAGTGGTCCATGGAACACTTCAGGTTCTGCATTTACTGGTTATTCGCCTTGGAGAGCAGGTGCAACACTTCTTGGGACCAGTTATAGCAGCTTCTGTCAAAGTTCTGGCAGACAACAAGTTGGTGATCAAACAAGAGTACATGAAAATCTTCCTCAAGCTAATGAAGGAAGTAGGTCCTCAACAGGTGCTTTGTTTACTCCTTGAACATCTCAAACATAAGCATTCCAGAGTGAGGGAGGAGGTGGTGAACATTTGCATTTGCTCCCTCTTGACTTATCCCAGTGAGGATTTTGACTTACCCAAACTGTCTTTTGATCTTGCCCCAGCTCTTGTAGACAGCAAACGTAGGGTTCGCCAAGCAGCTCTCGAAGCCTTTGCTGTGTTGGCATCATCAATGGGCTCAGGTAAAACCAGCACTCTTTTCAAAGCTGTGGATACTGTTGAACTACAAGACAATGGAGATGGAGTGATGAATGCTGTGCAAGCCAGACTGGCTAGGAAAACCCTCCCAAGGTTAACAGAACAGGGATTTGTAGAGTATGCAATACTCATGCCATCATCTGCCCAGGGTAGGTCAAGCCATGTGGCACATGGAGCAGATACAGACTGGCTTTTGGCTGGTAACAGAACTCAGAGTGCATACTGCCACTGTGGTGACCACACAAGGGATAGCATGCAAATTTATGGATCTTACAGTCCAACCGTCTGTACCCGAAGGGTTTTAAGTGCAGGAAAAGGAAAAAATAAATTACCATGGGAAAACGAGCAGCCTGGAGTCATGGGAGAAAACCAGACCTCCAATTCCAAGGATATAGAACAGGTATGCATCTTAGTTTTCTTGTGTTGAAACTAGAAGAATCTAAAATGAAAATATATCTGTCATGATTTAAGGATAAGGCTGATTTAGGATTGTTACACTTTATTTTGAAATCAATTTGCTGATATGGGTATCTTATGTTGGTACTGATCACAGAGGAATGTTTAATAGGCTTTCTGCTTGGTAGACTTGATTAAATTCTAGGCATGATATGATAGAGACTACGTGGATTTCAGTTTTGACTTGTCCCTTTGGCTTATCAGTTATCTCATTCACACAACAAACACTATAACCTCTTAGGTACTGCCAGATAAAGAGTTTAGTTCTGGGAGTGAAAATAAGACAGGTTCCACAGAGTAGACCTGTGAACAGGCAGTTACAAATTTGTTAAGTGCTAAAATAGGAATATAAAGACTTGTGGGAATACTGAAAACAGAAAAAATAATTGCACTAGAAAAGTCAAAAAGGCCTTCCAAGATATGACATCTGAACTGAGATCCTTAATTTTGAAAAGTTCACATTTGCAGATAATAATACAATGAATATTCACATTTTATCTGTATTCTCTCGTTATCATCTTGCCCTATGTACTCTATTATTTGCCAAACCATTTGAAAGTGCAGATATGTTAACATTTCACTCCTAAATATGTCAGCATAGATCTCATTAAGAATGATATTCTCCTTTTTAACCATCATATCATTATCACACCTAAGAATATCAGTAGTAACTCAGTAATATCTAATATAAAGCCTGTATTTAAACTTCTCTGGTTGTCCCCAAAATGTGTCCTATAGTATTTGTTTTACTTTATCAACCAGGATCTAATAAAGGTCCATATGGTTAATAGAGGGTCCAACCAAAGTAATGCCTGCTTGAGTGTGGTTGGTAGAATAACAATATGGGTGTAATAATGTATAGTTTTAACTGAAAATATCACCTAAAATGTCATATAGTGTGATATTATTATGTTACAGAATTACATGCTTATGATTCTGTAATAAAAAGGGGCATTAACTGTGCTGAACCCTTATCTCTCTTATCTAGAACAATATGCCCACCTGTTTTTTTCTTTGTTTATTCATGACATTGAGTTTTTTGAAGAATCAAGAGCAGTGTTTTGTAGAATTTTCTGCATTCTTATTTTATCTGATTGTTTTGTTATGATTACATTAAACATAAACAGTTTTAGGAGAAATACTGCATAAGAAAGAAGCTGTGAACTTAACTTTGCATCACACCACAAGACGTATAATACCAGGTTGTCCTACTATTGGTGATACTAAATTTTATCACTTGCTTAAGGTGGAGATGGCCAGATCACACCCTTGTAAAGGTTTATTTTCTTCTCTATAATTTGCATGTGATTTGTGGCTCTATAAATACCTTAACAACCTTTCACCCACTGTTTTTAGTATTCTTTATTTTATTTTATTTATTTTTATTTTATTTTATTGAGATGGGGGAGGGAAGGAGAAAGAGAGGGAGAGAAATATCAGTGTGTGGTTACCTATGAAGGGCCCCCTTTGGGGACCTGGCCTACAACCCAGGCTTGTGCCCTGACTGGGAATTGAACCAGTGACCCTTTGCTTTGAAGGCCCACGCTCAGTCCACTGAGCTACGCCAGTCAGGGCTGTTCTTAGCTTTCTTTAGTGATCCTTACCTGTATCATTTTTTAAAATTCTAATATTTCTCCTATATTTGTCCCTTGGCATTCTTTTAAAATCTGTACTTAAGATTATTACATCAGTACTACTTTTGATGCTAAAATTGTCTCAAAGATTCAACCAGTAGCTGGCTCCTATGGCTTTTGACATGACTCTGAACACTTCTTTAACTTAAACATAACATGATGCCCAGGCTTATCTTGTACTGTACTTGCTCCAGACTTAGAATCAACCTTTATCTTTTTTCCCAAGGGCCCTACTAGAATTGCTTTTTAGTGAAGCATGTGATTTAAAAACCAGAGTCTGTGTATAGACGTGCTCATTGCTATTGCTCACCACTGTAGATTGGCACTTTCACCTGTACTTTCAGCAAGTACTTTTTTTTTTCCTAATGAGTTGGTGCTGATACCCTCAATTCAAATTGAGCACTGCAGGGCTGTTCTTCATCTAATTTTAGTCCCTGTTTGTATTGCCTACAATAAAACTCTGGTTCCCAGAGTTTTCCAGCCATACTTACTCATATGCTGTATACTACAATACACAAAAAATAATTACTACACCAATAACAATTAACTACCTATTAAATAAAGTTCAAGATTTTTTTGAAGTTCTTTTTCTGCTTATAATTATCCCACAGTTAGAGTTCTATGTTCAGACTTTTCTTAATTGTTTTCTGGGTGATTATGATTCAAGTAATGTGATAGAAGGTGAACAGGAGTTTGCTAAGTGTGCATGGATCCTGGTGAATTTCAGAACAAGAGAATATATGTTCAGAGACTGAGTTATGAAAGGCTTTAGCAGATTAAGAAATGGTGCGTTTCTGTATAGCTTAATAAAGCTTTGTGGTGGGAAGTAACAGAAGACACTAGAAATGTAGGTAGGGGCAGAGTATGGAGATCATTTTTGCAAATAAGGAATTAGTCCTTTTTTTAGTTGACCTTAAAGAGATTGAGGTGAACTAATTTTCTCGTTCCATCTGTTGATGGGAGAGACCTGGTTCTTGCTGCTGGTGCATGTAAAGACTTACAGATCAGCAAAATCTATTAGCATGCAGTTTATTAGTGATTCATTACTATGGAAGAGAACGGGACTAGCTAGGGTGGGGGGTGGAAGGCAAAGTTTCAAGGCAAAGCAGGGTGGCAAAAGTAAGAGCTGCTGAAGACCAGGGTGGGAAGCCCCCTAGGTTACCTGAGGCCAGGTGCCCAGAGAGCCAGGAGTGCCTAGAGCACCCCAGAGCCCTGAGCCCCCATGAGAGAGAATCTTTTGTTCTGAGAACTCTTGTAGCTGGTGGGATAGGTAAAAAAAGTTACATGTTGATTAATGGGTAAATGTGCCAGCTTTCCTGGGGAAATGTGACTACCTAAACTTAGGTATGTGTGGGGGGTCAGCTATCCCGAATCCTTAACCTTGCTCCAGATTCCATTTGTTCATCTTGTTATAAAACAAATATGTGACAGGAGGCACTTAATTAAAATTGGGGCACTTTCCCAAAGTTACGAACTTTGGTGCTTGAACTGCCTTTCCGAAATTTCAGTGTAGGCATGTGTTGTGTTTGCAAGCTTTTGGTGAAATTGAAACTTATGTAAGAAATTAAGTTATATTTTGTTGCTCAGAAATGGTAGAAGAACTACATTGGAAATTATCTTAATAGAAGACAGGGATTACATATTTATTTTTATGTGTGCAGTTTTTTTATAATAAACATTTTTAGAGCAGTTTAGGCTCACAGTAAAATTAAATAGAAAGTACAAAGATTTCCCATATACCCTCTGCACCCACACATGTACGACCTCCTACAATACATCTAACACCACAGCGGTACATTTGTTACAGTTGCTGAACCTGCACTGGTGCATCATTATTACACCAAGTCCATAGTTTTACTTTGGGTTTACTCTTGGTGATATGCATTCTATGGATTTAGACAAATATACCCATGTCCATTATCCACCATTGTACAGCAGTGTCATACAGAATAGTTTTACTGCCCCCAAAATCCTGAGTATTTACTACTCCTTCATTCCCTACCTAATTCCTAGCAACCACTGATCTTTTTACTCTATAGTTTGTCTTTTCCAGAATGTCTTGTTCCATGGTCTTATTTGTACTGGCTCTTACCCAGCTCTGCATCAGTATTTGCAGTCTACTGTTAATCTGTTATTTCTCTTGTCCACATGTAGCATTGGTTATTGACATTAAATAGCAAAGCTTCCAGAAAAAGTCAAGAATGTTTTATTTATTGGATGGGGGGGAGTTAATTTTTTTTTTTGTAAGATGGCTCTAGTAGTGCTTAGTTGTCTTTAACGACATTTGAAACAATTTTGTTAGATTGTATTGTGACAGCTGTTATATCGGCATGCGTTTAAAAAAAACATCAAAATTGGTGAATTTTTGTGTAGCCATTTTAGTAATTGAAGATGAAAGAAAATAAGCAACATTTTCAGTATATTATGCTTTATTATTCCAAGAAAGGTAAAAATGCAACTGAAACCCAAGAAAAGATTTGTGCAGTGTATGGAGAAGGTGCTGTGACTGATCGACTGTGTCAGAAGTGGTTTGTGAAGTTTCATGCTAGAGTTTTCTTGCTGTATGATGCCCCATGCTTGGGTAGACCAGTTGAAGTTGACAGTGATCAAGTCAAGACATTAATTGAGAACAAGTAACATTATAGCACACAGGAGGTAGCCAACATACTCAGAATATCCAAATTAACAAATTTCTTGATGAAATGAAAAATGTGTTTCTTATGGAAAAAAATATGGACTTTTTGGCCAACCCAATACATACTTCTCTAGCTTGTTTTGAAGATAAATAGCTAAGTTTGCTTGGAAGCATGACTTTTGTAGTTGTAGTGGTAGGAAATAAGATCAGAAGAGGGAGGGAGGGACTAGATTGGAGACTAGAATTTGGTTTACCCTCTTAATTTTGATAGTGTTTGAGACTACAGAGTTTAGTTTCTTTTTTTTTCCCCTTTGCTTTTACTTGGGTTTTTTTAAAGCAGTGTATTAGGTAAATTAATCACAACAATAGTAATGTGTAAGTTGTGTGGTGTTTTTTTGTGTGTCTTTCAGAGAAGCTGGAGACTGGAGACTTAGTGGAAAGAAAGTGATATATGTAAGAGATATTTTAAAGGATTCAGTGACTAGGTGTTGAAGAGAGGGAGGGAGGGAGGGAGGGAAAGAAAGCGGGGTAACTCTAAAATTTGAATAAGATGACAAAATGCATAACAGATTCATGAATACACATAGGAAGGTCCAAAAAAGAGGAAAGTAATTTGAGAGAAAATTAATTTTAGGTGGAAGAAGATAGAATATTCCAGTTGAGTTTAAACACTGC